CTTTTCCAATGATTCTGTCCACGGATTTAGTCAATATGATTTCCACGCCGTCAGGTGAAGTCCATGGGTTTGTTTGGGTTTTTTTAAAATTTATTTTTATTTTAATAATTTTAATGAACATTTACAGAGATTTTGGATTTCCATTCATTCATTGTTGTACTTTTCTCCCTGCCTAGCCCTCCCCCCGTAATTACTTTTATAGTCTTAGTCTTGTCTCATTAAATTTATAATTATTAAATTCTTTTTTATGATATGAAAGGGATTCTATACCATATTATATATGCATTTTATAATTCATAATTATAGAGATGGCAGGGAAGTCACAAGTAACTGTCATTTTCAAATAATTAATAAAACTACTTTTAAGCAGTCATTGTCTCCTCACCACAAGCATTCTTTATCAGCTAAGTTGCAGGATTTGACAGACGTGTGCTTTCTGTAGTGCGTTTGCAAAGCTGTACATTGGACAGAAGAAGAGCCGCAGAAGAAAGAAGTAAACAGTCAAACACCTACTAAAGGCACATGCCGAGCACGGGTTCAGGGTGATCAAAATCTGGCCTGAGCATCATTACTGATCTTTGTCTAGAATTCCAAAAATCCCTAGCCATGGACATCAAGCCGAGTAACTTCACCTTACCCTCTGTTGGGTAAAGAACATTTAATTACTCTGAATATTGGAACTACCAGATAAAATCACTTTTGTGTGATGAGAAAAATAAATCTATCCATAGTGCAGGAGGGGAAGACCCTGGATGAGATGATTTGACTCAGGGACTGGAGTAATCGGGGAAGGTGTGTCGGAGATAGTGAGACTGGCTCGGGATAGAGCAGGGTTCATAGGGTCCCTGTGAGCCACAGGTGACTCGACGGCACATTACAGCAACAACCTATATAAAATGTCTGTTCTACCCATGTAGATAGAATGTTCATTCTCCACGTTGAATGCCTTATTGTCAACATTAATCTGAAGGCCCTTAAGCCATTTAAAAAAATGAATCTTTTGTCTCTCATTTCACCACTACACTCATGCATAATATGCGTGAAGAATTCTGTCTTTTAAACTGAAGAGGTTTGAGTGGCACAGCCTTTCTATGAAGATGGCACCAAAAGCAAAGAAGGAAGCCCCTGCCCCTCCCAAAACTGAAGCCAAAGCAAAGGCGTTAAAAGCCAAGAAGGCGTCCTGAAGGGCGTCCACAGCCAAAAAGAAAAAGATCCACACGTCGCCCACCTTCCGGCGGCCTAGGACGCTGAGACTCCGAAGACAGCCCAAATACCCCTGGAAGAGCGCCCCCAGGGAAAACAAGCTTGACCACTATGCCATCATCAAATTTCCTCTGACCACTGAGTCAGCCATGAAGAAGATAGAAGATAACAACACACTCGTGGTCATTGTAGATGTCAAGGCCAACAGGCACCAAATCAAAGAAGCTATAAGGAAGCTCTATGATAATGCATGTGTCAACACCTTGTTTAGGCCTGATGGAGAGAAGAAGGCCTATGTTTGACTTGTTCCTGACTATGATGCTTTGGATGTTGCCAACAAAATTGGCATCATCTAAACTGAGTCCAGCTGGCTAATTTTAAATACACATTTTTCTCACCATTAAAAAAAAAAGTGGCAGAGAGTAAGTATTCAGTTTGGTTCTAAGCTAAATTTTGGTGTGTTGTAGACTCTTCTTCCCACTGTTACTGTGAGAAATGAAGAGCTAATTGAACAGAAAGAATTACACAGACAGCAGATATCCTATGACTAACATAATAGGAAAAGCTTGCCTGTCTCTATTACCAAAGCACTTGTATGAAATCTTTTTGAAGTATAATTCTGCCCTCAGTTTTTTATATTTGCTTAAATGCCAATTTAACACTCAAGGTTAAACTTCCCATCCTCACTAAATACTGCATTCTTTTAAATTATTAATACTCCAAAAATGTTCCTTTTAAAAGATATTCTGTCATTGTGTTCAGAATTCTTCAAGAGTTTTCGCATTTGTAATGGTTTCAGTCAGAGATTTTCCCTCTGTCCTTGTGCAGGGCAGGGCAGGCAGGTATCCCAACTGGAATCTGCAACAGCTCAATCCAAAATGGGACTCCAGAACCTTGCAAATGAGAACAGCTATGAGCACCTGTACCAAATAGCCTCACGGATCTACCAAAAGTCCACAGAATGATAACTGCTGGATTTACTTTTGAACTTTACAAACTTTGCCTGGCCTGATATGGCAAGCAAGATGGAGGTAGGATTGTCTTGTTACATACTGTTGAATTGACTATAATTATTTTTATTTTGGGGTTTTTTCTTCCATAAGTATATAGTTCACTGCCAGTTGTTAAGTGCCATTAAGTCAACTACCAGTCAAAACAACTCTATAAACAACAGATCTGCACCCTGCGCTGCCCTGCACCACCATCGCCATCTCCAGCTGCCCACGCCCTTTGTTACCATCACCCCGTCCTTTTGAGGGCCTTCCTCTGTTCATCTGACCTCCCACCTTTCCCAGCATGACGTCTTTTTCCAAGAACTGCCCCCCTTCTGACACCGTGCCTTTTAGTCATTGATAAATGGAAGAAAGATGCTCCTTTTACAGTCAGAACCATATACGGATACTCTTTACTATGGAAATACGTAACTTCCACAACACTGGGGAGAATAGGACAATGAACTTTCTTGTTCTCAGCACTTAGCTTCAAAACTTTGCAGGATGCGGTGGATTGGCACAGTGACTGCAGCAGTGGGTTTAGCACAGCAGAAATTGTGAGGATGGCATGTGGTTGTGTATCGATGAGTCAGGACCAACTCACAGCTAACCCACCAGCAGGTGTTTAAAGCCAGTCAGTCACACAAAGGCACACCCAGTAAATGCTATTGATAGTGCTCCACTCTTGGGTCCTGGTCGACTAGAGCAAAAGCCACTGGTGAAAGGAAAAACCATTGACACAAACCAAATATCAAAGAATGTAACCTTCAATATTGATTGCATTACCTCTGGCCAAATTGATTAATGTGAGAATGAACATTATTTAAGTGGTACAGCAGTCATTTGTTTGTTGTACTGAATAACTTGGAGTTGCCAGTCACTGTGCCATAGCTGTGACAAATGCCATGTGACACTGTTTGGAGGAGCTTCCAGATTTCAGGTTTGGAAGGAATGGCATCCACTTCCTATGCCAGATGCCTCTGAAAACTATAAACTCCATAAACATAAAGAAATGAAGTTAATTATAGAACAGAGTTCAGGTCTTTTGTTTATAGGGTCACTATGTATTTGACTTGATGACACTTAACCACTACTAAGTGAGACTAGTGTTGTTATATTTTGGAGGAGCATTCTTGTACTTTGTACATCACTAATTGTCAATTTGCTGTACTGAGGGTTTGTTGTGATACTGAACCTGTACCATTGGGGTACCACGTACCATAATGGTTTACCAATATGGACAGTGTTTGGTGGAGCTCCCATTTGTAGGGCAGGTTTGGAAGAAGGAGTGGCATCCACTTCCTAAACCACAAGTCTATGAAAATGGCTATCAACTTGGAGAAACGTATAGAAAAGGTCTTTTGTTCATGGAGTCACTATGACTCGACAGCAATCAACAATGACAAAAATAATCACACAGGAGAAGACTGCCCATATTTCTCCCATGGAGCAGCTGGTAGATTAGAACCATGTGCCTTTTGGTTGACAGCACAATTCCTTACCACTAGGCCACCAGAGCTCCTGAGGATGGCCTACAACTGTTACATGTAGAGTTACAGTCAGAGCTGATTCAATGGTATCTAACAACTATGGTTTTAGATCTCTAGGACTCCAGTTAAGCTTGCAGACATTCAGGACTGGTACATTTTCATTAACAAGCAAGCAAAGAGGAACTGAAATGAAAAATCCCTTCTTGTGTTAAAGATGCAAACTTTCATGCCCCAAAGAATAAGAAAACAGATCTACACTAGAGCTCTCTGTCTCCAGAAATCAGATCTGTTCAGGAAATCAAGGAAGATCTCAGATGTTTTCCACAATGTGCTTCAATCCTACTTGGAACAGGTGTTCTGGATTGATGGGTGGATGAGAACAGAGTAAGATTAAGGCAAAAGAGGAGAAAGCTTAGAAAACCTTGAGGTTTCAGAAGATAAATACCTACAAAAGAGGACTTGAGATGCTGACAGACCAGAGAAGAGATGATGTCCTTGGGACTTAGTGCATGGAAGGATTTTTTTAAATTTTGTGGGTTTTGTTTCTTTTTTTTTTAGATGAGCAAGTTTGAGTATAGGGATGTAGGTTTAAGGACGGACCCAGCCACTTGGGTCTGAAGAAATCCAACAAGAATGGAAGCACTATCAGCGTGCAGACGAAGCGTGAATATAGGCCGCCGCTCGTAAAGCCCTGGTGGCCTGATGGATAAGGAGTTGTGCTGCCAACCCACAGACAGACAGTTAAAACCACCAGCTGCTGAGCAGGAGAAAGACAGGAAATCTCCCATTTGATTTACTGCCTCTGAACAAATACTTGCGGGAGGGTCGACTATGAGTCAATTCCAACTTGACAACACATAACAACATTCTCAGAACTGTGTAAAAGACTTCTTGGTAAAAACCACTCGGAGATTTCTTTGTGAGCAGTCAGCCCAGCATTTGTTCAGCAAAACTTGCATCAGAAGACAAGTTATGGTGCAACCACTATGGAAGGCAGTATGGTGTCTTCTCAAAAAAAGTTGCAAATACAAATACTATTTGACCCAGCAATTCCACTACTGGGAATATACCCCAAAGAAACCAAAAGTGCCACCCAAGCAGATATATGCACACCCATGTTTATTGCAGCTTTGTTCACAATAGCAAAGAGTTGGGAACAACTCAATTTCCCATCAACAA